AAAAAAAAAAAAAAAAAAAAAAAAAAAAAAAAAATTTCTTAACAAAACAGAACAAACAAAAAACCCAAAAACCAAATAAATTAAGAAAAAAAAAATAAAAAAACCAGAATGGCTTTAGTACCAACCAAGTAAAATTGGTACTAAGACAATTGTGTATGTGTGTATGAGCTGATGTTGGCTGTCCTCCTAAGTGGCTCTTTACCTTATTTTAGACAAGGCCTCACTGAACCTCAAGCTTCTCCTGTGGTCCTCCTATCTCTGCCTCCAAGTGCTGAAGTAAAAAGCTCACACTGCTACCCCCAGCTATTTATATGGGTGCTGAAGAGCCAAGCTCAGGTCCTCACACTTGCATGGCAAGCATTTTATCAGCTGAACCCTCCCCCTGGGCCCTGTCATAATAATTTTTTAATACTGAAATGTTTAGAGAATTTAAATAATATCTACAGAAATTAAACAATGCAAGAAATCAAATGTGCACTCACAAATACATTTACATATATAAAAATTAAACTAATGAAATATATTAAAAGCAAAAAAAAAAAAAAACCACCCTAGATACCTACTACTGTCTTTGTAGACTAAAAAGATGCAAGCCATTATCTTCAAAAATTCAGCAACAACCACTGCTGTAGAAGACAGGTAACGAGGACCCTCCTCTTTTAAAGTCCTAGAATAACGCATCGTTAGAACCAGACTGGTAGTCTGAAACACCAAAATTCCCAAGGAAAGATATTTTAGGTTGGCAGACATTGTTTTCTCTTCATTGGTCTGAAAAATAAAATGAACAGGGCAAGTTAATCAATATTGTTATTAAAATATACAGAAACTAATATCCAACAAGAGACAGTGGTTCCAAAAAAACGATGATACAAGTCTCCTATTTTTTCTAATTACAACCAAAAAGCCTGGACCAAAACCAAAGGCACCTCCCAGAAAATTTGGGCTGAAGGAAACAGGGCAAGCTGATTTAGGTCTAAGTGAGGAATGAGCCAGTACCGAATTCTTGGAGATTTCTGGCTAACTATGTTTTCTACCAAGTGCTACAGTACCATATCAACTGGAACTATCAACAGTGTAGAACAGCAAAACAGCTGAGGAAAACTCAGTTTCTCTAACTAAAGGACCAAAGACAGTTGTCCTAAACACTGTTACCATTCCAGATGAATACTATGAAACTGTAGGGGAAAGCCTTGTTAACTCTCAGCACCAGAAGCAATGAGAGCAGAGGAGTGACCCCTCCCCCTCCCACTAGACTCTGCAGACACAGACTATGGAGTGGAGTCCTGTTGGCCACTCCTGAAACATACAAAGGGAGAATCAGCAAACAGAATTCCCACTCTTCCCCAATTGGCTATGAATAAAAGAGATTTAAGTAGGAACCAGAGTATCATAATATACAAATTTTCAAGATAAAACTCAAAATGAATATATCCACCAAAAATCAAAACAAATCTTAATTTGGTTAAATAGCAACAATCAACAGATGGTACAAAAAAAATAGCTCATATGTTGGTGTCACAAGAATTTCAAGGAAGCTACCATAAAAATACAGCAACTAAACACTCGGGAGAGCAGGCCCTGCACCTCACCTGGGCAACACAATAGGGCCAACCCCATTGGTGGAGGTGTGAGTGAGCCAGCCCCAAAGTTGTGAGCATGAGAGAGCTGTCCCCATTACTCATCTGTCATGTTGCAGCATGGGTGGGGAGAGATGCCCTCCCCCACCCCATCTCACCTCCACCCATCAACGCCTGAGGTAGGTGGGAGAGCTGGCCCTAAGGTCATAAGAGCAGGAGAGTGGCCCCATATAATGCCTTGGCAACAAAGTAGAGCTGGCCCTGAAGGTGTAGGTGTGGGAGAACCCACCCTGAGGATGTGAAAGTGGGAAAACTGGCCCCACCCACTGCTCATGCCTGCAAGCAGTAAACTAACCAGGGCAATGCTGGAGAGCTGGTGGTAGGGACAAGGGAGGCTGGTGGGCTGACCAACCCTGCAACTACCTAGGCCCAGAACCAGGTTATGACTTCACCCACCCCAACATCCAGCCCATCTGTGATCTGTTGGAGCACATAAAGGCACCAGTCCTGCAGACCCAACGCTGCAGGATCTCCACAACACAGGGCAACAACAGGATATCCAGGTCCCAGTGAGGGCCCAGCATCAAAGGTGTAGCAGAAACCAGAGGCCTCGAACCAGACCAATGACGCTGCAGTGAACGCTTGCAAATAAAGATATATGGACAAAAGAGTTCATTGCATGATTCACACTGTAGCTTCCATGACCAGATCAATTTTTCTTTTTTTTTCTTTTCCTCTTAAATTTCATTTTATATTGGGGGGAGGGTTTGCAAGGGCAGAAGACAGATACAAAGGGACAGGGAAATGAATGGGATGGAGACACATAACGTGAATGACACAAAGAATAAATAAAAAATACAGCAACAAGAAATTATTAAACTTATTAAAAATAATTTTAAACTCATAAAGACAAAAAAAAAAAGAAGAGTCCTCATGCACTTTTCCCCAGGTTCCCTAATAACAAAAGCCACAGTCCTTCTAATCCTATAAAATATTTCAACATTGTTCCAAGAGACTTTTATGAAGCTTGCTATGTATCTCGAAGAAACAACCCAGTCCCAATAGACTCACCTTAAACATAAAGCCAGAGATATGCTGAAACGTAAAAGGACTAGGCCATCTTAGTACTTTGATACCTGTAGTCCCAGCTATTTGAGAAACTAAGCTAGGAAGATCACTTAAGCCCAGGAGTTCAAGACCAGTCTGAACAATTTAGTGAAGAAGAGTCTCACAAAACAAGGAAGAAGAAAGGGATTCGTTGACAGGAAGGAGAAGGGGGATAAGGAAAGAGATGGGCAGGAAGGAAAAAGATACCATGAGAAAACTATGAAAACAAATGGGGGACTTATATTAACATTAGGTAAAAAGCTTACATAAAAATTACTTCTAGACTTGAGGATATTTCACAGTAATAAGGAGGTGAAGTGCTTATCTAAATTGTTTTATTACTAATAAAAACTTGGGAGTCAGATATTGGGATACAAAATCAAGAAAGCAACAGAGGAAGAACTAGCTGACCCTGTTTCTCCACCTTCCCAGATTGAAAAGGCTGCAAATCTCTCCAAACCCTTCCCTACTATTCCTGTGCCTCTCTATCTGGGCCCTCCAAAATCTCTATGACTAATTCCGGTTAGCTAGTTGTGGACTCCACCCCTTGATTCAAGGTTTAACTTTATTAACAGTCTTGGAGTGTCACTGTGCAATCAAATATCCCACAACAAAAGGGTAAATACACCAGGAAGCTATAGCCATTATAAATGCGTATGTATCTCATTACAGTAGTTTCAAAACACATAAAACAAAATGAACAGAAATAAAAGAAAAATAATAGATAAATCCAGCCATAACTATAATATATAACCTACTTTTCTAAAAAAAAATGGTAGAATGAGAAAACAATCAATAAAGATCTAGAAGGTTTCAACAGTTCTATCAACCACCACAACTACAGTACACATGGAGACAGACAGTCCACTCAAATCTTCCAAGGAAGCGCTTAAGCATAGTCACCAGTGTTTCCCACTCAAGATCTTAAACCTTTTGCCTCAGATTGATCTAAAGATATAATACAACCCCCCCCCATCCCTATAGCCTTCTGTGGTGTATCAAATAAGAATGGCCCCCACAGGCTCAGATATTTGAATGCTTAGTCAGCAGGGAGTAGCATTATTTGAGAAGGATGAGGAGGTGTGGTCTTGTTGGAGGAAGTGTGTCACTTGGGGTGGGCTTTGAGGTTTCAAAAGGCCAAGCCAGGCCCAGTGTCACCTGCAAGCTGTGTGGGTGGATCAGGATGTAGCTCTCAACTACTTCTCCAGCACCATGCCTGCCTGCAAGCTTCCATGCTCCCTGTGCCATGATGATAATGAGCTAAGCCTCTGACACCGTAGGCAAGCCCCCCAATTAAATGCTTTCTCTTATAAGAGTTGCCTTGGTCATCGTATCTCTTCATAGCAATAGAACAATGACAAAGACATCTTCTTTAGTAGAAACTAGAAAGCTGATTTCTTTTTTTCTTTTTTGGTATTACTTTTTAAGTTGTCTGTTTCAGGATCTCCCTTTTTTGCCTGAGCTGGTCACAAACTCTTGGATTCAAGTGATTCTCCTGCCTCAGTTTTTGAAGTAAATGGAGCCACAAGTCATATGCTGCCAAGCTGATTTTAAGTCTCACATGCAGGGGCTAGAGAGATGGCTCAGAGGTTAAGGGTTAAGAAGTTAGGGCTATGCCGGGCGGTGGTGGCGCACGCCTTTAATCCCAGCACTTGGGAGGCAGAGCCAGGCGGATCTCTGTGAGTTCGAGGCCAGCCTGGGCTACCAAGTGAGCTCCAGGAAAGGCGCAAAGCTACACAGAGAAACCCTGTCTCGAAAAACCAAAAAAAAAAAAAAAAAGAAGTTAGGGCTATTCTTCCAGAGGTCCTGAGTTCCATTCCCAGCAACCACACGGTGGCTCACAACCATCAGTAATGAGATCTGGTGCCCTTTTCTGGTGTGCAAGCATACATTCAAACAGAACACTGTATACATAATAGGACCTAGGCAATGAAAACATTTGGAAAGAGCAAGTTGAGGGAATTAAATAAAATACTGACCTTCCAGACTCACTAGAAAGCTACAGAAGATGGCCATCATAGGCATAGGGGTATAGAGCAATAGAATACAGTCCAGTATTGGATCCATATACCCTACTTTGTTCAGGCAGCTATCAATACCTTTTCCTAGGTAGCTTATAAACAGGAATTTATTTCTCACAGTTCTAGAAACCAAAGGTTCCAGATGACTATGCTGGCACTGTCTGGTGCTGGTAAAGTCTTTCTTCTAGGATTGAAGATGACCGTATTGGCATTGTACCCTCACATGGTAGAGCATCAAGAGTTCTTTGGGGGCTTTAATCTTGTCTATGGGGGCTGCATTCTCATAATCCAATTATTACCCAAAGGTTGTACTCTCCAATACCATCACACTGAGATCTGGCACAGTGGTTGAGTGCATACTACCTTGCAGAGGACCTGAATTCAGTTCCCAAGCACATTTCAGACAGCTCCTAACCACCTGTAATTCCAGCTCCTGGGGACCTGATGCCCTCTTCTGGACCCTGTAGGCACCTGCATTCACACATATACATACATGTACACACACAGTTAAAAAGAAGATAAGTCAAATCTTTTTAACATATCACCTATGAGCCAGAGAGAAGGCTCAACAAATCAAAGTGTTAACTGGTAAGACTGACGGCCCAAGTTCAACCTTGGGGAATCAAACATACGCCAAACATGAACAATGCCACATTATAAGGATAAAAATTTTAAGAGTGAAAAACGTATGTTCACCACTAAATACACATACATAAATCACTGGAGATATTATCGTAAGCATTTTACTTGAATTTCAGAGACAAAACTGAACAATATACTTCTTTGCTACACAAATGAATCACCTTACAGGAACAAATACAGAGATTTCTTTATTAGCCATCTGCCTCACTTCTGTAAACCCTTACTAGCAAAAAAGTCCTAATGTAAAATACAAAGACAGCATGTTAGAGGTAGTTCATACTTGAGAACAACATCTAATTTGACCTCTTCATGTTAAAAGTGAAAAATAAATAAATATGTATATTTACATGTGTACACACACATGTATATATATATATATATATATTTATTTACATACTGAGCTACTGTAAAATGCTAGTAC